GATCCTCTCACCTGAGGAGAAGGAGGTGGTTCTGCTGGAGTGGCTGAAGGCTGCTGGCATGGTCTGGTAACCGAGACTGAGCTGAGAGCCGTTGTCAAAGTCATAAATCCCCCTCCCTCCCTCCCTGTGGCCCCGGTTGCGGTGGTACCAGCCTCTCAGATGCTCCGTCACCAGGGCCTTATGCATGTTCTTGGCCAAAAGTTCATTCCTGGGGCCTTCTCTGTTTCGAGGCGGTCTCACCGTTGCGTAGGGATTCTGGGAGAATCCATCCGCACGGTCGCTGCTGTAGTGTCGGAATCTGTCGTGTCCGTGGAACCCATTCATTTGGTAGGAAGGGTTGACGTTGTAGTGGCCTTCCACTTCATTCTCGTACACATAAGCACCGTTGGTGTAATGATCCACGTCGGAGCAGGGGTAGTCGTTGACGTAGTAGGCACTTGGAGCGTAGTGGGCCGAGTGCTCACATGAGTAGCTACATCCAGAATGGTGTGGCACCAGGTTGGGCATGCTCCCCGTGTTGCCATAAACTTCTACCTTCCTGTGGAGCCGGTGCAGGGTGGACGTACGAGAGTCCAGCGTACTGTACTGCGAGTGGGCTGCGCCGCAGCAGTCCAGGCTGGACTGACTGGTGTAGGAGGAGCAGTCTTCCAGCGCCTCCGTGCTGTTGCTGCGGTAGGTTTGTGAAAGGATGAACACCGGCTTCTCGGAGTCGGCGTCTTTTCTCAGCCCGGGCTGCGACTCCAGGCTGCCGCTGCGATGTCGGAAACACTGAGGAGAGCCTTCTGACCTGAAGACAGAACACAAGTTTTACACAGGCTCTACGCAAAGAAAGACTCTTGAATGATGACATTAGGGTTGATGAACTCGTTAGCTAAAGGTTAGTAGGAAGGAGGAAGCGGGGGAAGCTCATTTCAAAGAGGAGGAAGGTTAAAAGGTTAGCAGTGGTTCAGAGAGGAGGTCAGACCTGAGCTGGCTGCTGCTGTAGGCATTGCGGGTCAGAACCGGGGTGGGAGGCATGCTGCGTGGGTCTCTGGGAGGTCTGGGAAGGGTTTTATAGGGACTACTGTGGGTGGAGGAGACTTCTCTTGTGTTGCTGTAATGATGAGAACCCTCCTGGCCTTCAAAGGCTAATCTATAAGGTCGGAGTACCGGGAAAGGATCAAAATAAAGAGGATGAAATTTAAGAACAGGAATAAAAATGCTAAA